ATCCATATTTCATCACAGCACATACCTACGGTTAGCAATGTCTCCACTGGGAAATAAGGAGGAATTCCTGAAATTCTCGACGCCGGTTTGCATTGATCCAATCTGTAGCCAAGTTTAAGCCCGATCGGGGTCATGCCACTCGAGAGGTGCTCGCCAGAGCCTGAAGTGAGCTTTGCCGTGTGCTTGGGATTTTGTTCTGGCGACTGACCTGCGCAAAGTCTGCCTTTAAGTGGAAATGGATCCCTTCTCTACCTCAAGAGATCCTCAGAATTTCAGATAAGCGGTCTACTGTCTACAGGTTTATGGAGACATGAGAGAGGATAGGTTTTCGAGAGCTCCTTGTTATGTATATAGAGCCTTTGTTACCGGGTAAGCTGCATTTTGATTTTTTTCTTCTTCGTAACTCTGGAGCAAGTTACTGTAGTTTTTGAGTGAAGCAATAGGACGCAATTTGCTGGGCTCGCGGAACTATCAACTTAATACGATAATAAAAGCCACATACTAGCAGGCCAGCTCAATATCCTCCACTGATGGTAGGCCGCGAACCGTCAAATTACTGCACCCTTATGAAGCTGTTTGCCCTCCGCTGTGTACAAGACTCGATCTATTTACGAAAGTGGACCCAGGTGTGTTTTGTGAGTTACCATCCTGACTACCCTACATTTCCCGTAAATTAACACCCGTGCCGTGCGGTGCTACATGTGAAATGGCTTTCATCTAAATAATGGAGGCCCTCGGAGCCGATGCACTATAGAATGCATGGATCGACTGATTGGTAGTGATTACAGCCAGCCTCGCCGGCTACAATGTGAATTCAAGCCATTTCTGCTTGGGTGAACAGACTTGTAGCCGAGCCGAAGCCTTTGGGTTCGATGTTAGGGGCTGAAATCTGTGGAAGTGTTCATGGCTCTAGTCGTCTCATGTTTTTTTTTTATCTAGTTAGGGTTGGCAGATGATATAATTCTGCCGTTGTGGTGATTGAGATGCGTCTCATCTGTTATCTTACACTCTTCAGAATGATACAGCAATCATAACCAATCAGGATGTGATTGTTATATAGTTTGAGTTGGTAAATGTATTGCATTTTTACGATTTATGTTATCTGACCTATATTATTTATTTATTAAGTATAATTGGTAGACCGTTTCTTATTCCGGTTTCTTTTTTAGTAGAGATCGCTTGATAATGTTTCATCCTGCGATGATGCTGAAAATGCCCCTTGCACAGTTGGCACGTAGTAGCTTACTGATTAATGTTTGGGACACATTTATCCAGGTAAGGGGTAGAGCACTGCGTCTTTATTGAAAATTCTAATAAGCCCAGCACCTTCTTGAGTCCGCTATTTTCCTGCTTGTGTAAACGATCACGTGTAAGTTTTACGGGGAATGAATTGCATTTCCATTTCAAATGAAGCAACATTTGTCAAGTTGTACGACAACCAGTCATCGGTGTTCATTTTCGAAGTTTTGTTGGGTCCTTGTGGAGCCATTTTTAATGCTGAGACAATATTTCGCCTGTCACTTAGTGTCCGCGCAAACTATTCTTCATTTGCTATTTTGTCATTGGAAAGTTTTCGAGAAGCTGTGGCGAGTTAACGTATTTCAACTTGTGGTTATAAATGCTTTAGATCGGAGTCAATAGCTCTTATAAAATGCAATGATATAGGACGCGAATGATAGATACATCATTCACTTATTCGTGAATCGTGTCCATATTTTTCAGTTAACTTCATATGCTTCTTTACGGGGTGTAACTTGTGAGCTGTGGTATAACTTGTGTTATTCATAAATCGCCACCCTCCATTTTCTTGGCCTGTGATTGGCTCAAACGGTCATCACGACCAAAGTTTTCCTCAATAAGGACTCCAAAGCTGTAGGAATAGCTCCGTGAGACTCCCTTATGAACCGCAAACAGCTCATAACTGACATTCTGATTGCCCTATAAGGAGGAGTTTTTCACATTACGACCTGTGGTGAACACTACTATCTGTCTGGGGATCGTTTATCTCAGAAAATGGCCCAAGATAGTGGGTAAAATGTGTGTGCGCGAGAGGACGCGCTCAAACACATCAGTATAATGAACTCGGGAGCTGGGCAATAAGAGGTGTCGTATCTGGAAATGAGAATGCTTTCCGCAGTGATGTGGAGTAATGATACATCTCTCTGCAAGCTATGTTGAAGAATAACATTTTTTTTCGGAGAAGGTTCTCTTCGCTCTTTTTTTTACAGCTGAACGTGAGGTGGCACAATATGTTCATCTTTGATGTGTTGTTCAGAGCCGCTTTATTTTTATCTGAGCTCTTATTGCTGCGCAAATGGAGTAAGATAAGGCCTCTAAGATCCGATGGTATGATAAATGGATTGGTTACTGTGCTAAAAGTAGCGGGCTGAGTGAATTATCTACACATAATGCAAGTTTGCCGGATTTTGAGCATCTTTCCTTGCAAATGTGATACGTCTTTAGAAGAAATGTCGGGTATGCAAAGCTAGAACGTAAACCATGCAAACATGGAGCAGTATGCTTAATGCGCATGCATATGACACATAAAACTTCATTTGTTTTGAAGCATCGAGTGCGCATGCTGCCTTCCCAAAACAAAGTTGGCAATTATGGCAAGTTCATTAGTTTTTATATCGAACCTCTATTAATTGCTCCCAACGGACCTATGCCCAACAAATTCACCACCAAACACTCGTCACCATTTGCCTCCAATCGGCGCAACCCACCTGCACCGCTTTGATCAATCATTCAAAACATTTACCCCAGTCCGACAGTCTGGCGTGTCATTACGCCCGGACCCGGTGTCTGGCATTGCACCGGATAGGTGTAAACACGCGTCGCGTGGGTTTACACGGTCGGACGGTGTGCTTACACGGCGCGTTTGGCCGCGGGGTATTTCGGTCGCAGAGGCGGCGCCAGCACCCGGAAATGGGGAGGTCGGTGGGTGATGTGGAGAGGTGGGGTTAGGCGACATGTGGTTGGAGGTATTTTCGGGAAATTGGTAGGTATGATCAGACCTGAGAAACAGTGCATTATTTGACGATCTTGGCATTTCAACCTCAGGCGAATCCGAGGTCACAGAAAGCGTAACTCATGACCTCTCAGGGTTTACGATCCATTGAATAGTATCTTTTTATAATGGGCAGGTTTTCTGTTGGGAATGTATACCATAATGACTCCTACACATAGTTGTAGGACACATCAACTCTTGAGGCTCGTCAGTGTCGCTTGAAGGCCAAATCTCTCCTACCCTCAACCTCACCCACCTTGCACCCTGCCCACGCCTCTGCGATCGCCCAGCCGAAGCGGTTCATAGCCCAGTCGCTCCGACCGAGCTGACCTGACAGTGAGACAGGGGTGGTGTGGAGATCATCCCATGTGGAGAGATCATCCCATGAGACCCAGCGGTCACCCTCCCACGCACTATACCGGCATGAAGTGCGCGTGTGTGCGGTAGACAAGTGTGCTAAAGCGGGTACTCAAGTGCGTGCGTTGGGACGACAGCGTGTTTGTGGAAATGTGAAGAGGCGTGGAGGGTGTATAGCGGTGACATTGGAGGGTCCTTTCAGTGTCAGAGGCAGTGGTCCTCGTCCCTGATCTAAAGGACAATGGAAAGCTGACGTGTCTTTCCTGATGAGGTGGATGTGTTTTGATTCGAGGGAGCTTCCGAAACTGCGCTGTGCGTAAGAGAAATACCAATTATTCAAGAGGTGTTGGAACAACTCGAAGAGGAAATAAGCGTAGAAACAAGCTCTGATCACCACATTTACTCAGCACTGCGTTCATGTGCTCGCTGGGCTAGCTAAACTGAGATATGAGAAAGACTCGTTTCCTTGGATAAATAATCCTGTGTTTCTTTTGTCCATAACACGGTACCTCAAACTGTACTTATCTCGTTTGGTAATAGCCTGCCTCTCGTTCGGTACAGCAAAACAACTTTCACGGAGCAAACTATCTTTTTCACGAGGATCTCCCAAATGTTTGGAAAGTGGCCGCCGCAGCTGCCAGCATTATCCCATCCTTTTTCGGTGGTCCTCAATTCACGCAGCTGCTGTTGAGCGTTTTCTGATCAGGAGGAAGCGAGCTCAGCCTCAGATATTGGGCGGTATTTTATGTAAATCTCCCAGATCCACTCCTCAGATCTTCCCGGCCGTGCGCCGCCGATTTAGCCTGTTGCTCGGGTTTCCTCATACCGTTTGTTTTCCTCGGTGGAAGCCTCATCAGAGCTCGTGCTCTTTAGCCACTGATTGCCTCCGTGGCACGGGCAACATCCGTATTCGACGCAGTTTTCAGCTGGTTCTTAATGAGGCAATCAGCTAATTTGATCTCCGGCTCGACTGGTGGAATTAATTAGAGGTGTTTGCTTCGCTGGCTTTTGTTATATTTCTGTCCGAGATGCAGGAAAAAATGAGAGAAGGATCACAAATAAATGTCAGAGAAGCTTTAGGTAGAGTTCAGGAGATGCCGCCGTGTCGACGCATGGCTTAGAGTGCTCTTTGAAGTTTAATTTTTTATTACTCATATATCCGTTGCCTACATTTTTAGTCGCCTGGTAAACTTGAATCAAATAATTCCCAAGCTGTTCGCCATTTTCAGCGCTGCCTGGGCAAAATTGAGCTCGTGGATGAAACTGTGTCGTCGTCTTACTTCACCATACTCCTTTCTCGGTTCGCAAGAGTCTCCTGAAAAGCTGCAGCGTCAGTTTCGCTCTTGCCCAATATTCCTCGCTTGCTCAATCATGCGCATCCACTGCCGCACCGACATTACTGCGATTGCGCTTGCGAACTTAATTAGTAGCCTCCCTGGCTGGTGGCGCCGCTTGGGGAGCGAGGACCAACTCCCATTGCTCATCATTGGCGTGTCAGTTGTGTTACGCAGGGTGTCAATCTCGGTGGTGGGGGGGGGGGGGGGTCGGGATATGTTTAGCGGGTATTGATGTATAAGCACCCATGCTAGGTATTTGGAGATACAATGTCACATTTTGTTTATGTACAATCACTTATTTACGTCAGAAATTGCAAGAATGTTGGGTACAGGAAGAGAGGAAGATACGAAAACCATGGAACCCGTGGATACCATCCTGGACAGTGTTGACGCCAGTCAATGATGTTTCTATGTTCAGTACCTATTCCACATTTTATGATAACATACCCTCACCAAAAAAAGCACGAATTGGATCTTCAGCTGGAAGTGCAGCTCTGCAAAGTGAAATATGAGTGAAACCGTGAAGCTACAAACCTGATATGGCCTTCTGGCTTTTAGCAATATGTTCGCTACTTCTTGGTTTCTACTGGTACACAAGAAAACTGGTGGGTATCCGTAATGCGCTTGCATCAAAGCATATGAAGCAAACACTTGCCGCACATTGTGTAGCTACTTTATTTATGCCACGATATCGATTTTTTCATTGAACTAATACATGGGAAATGTCTATCCCCTCTCTTCCAATGTCGGGTGCTTCCGTCATTTGTTTAATTATACCTATACCTACAGCATTATCATTTTGTAGGTTTTTGGGGACCTCCCTTCATTGCAAAATGCAATCACTCGCATTCTAAACCCAGCCGTTTCTTATTCTCGTATAATTTAAACACATTCTTTCAGCCCAATCAATCTTCGTCCCGACCCGTATGCATTAACCACAGCGCTCTGACTTTTTAAAGACATATCTAACTTGTACCACGTAACCAGTCGACTCTTTTTCTTCGCAGCCATCCATCTGTCACGTGACCAATCGCTTGCGTTCTCTTCACAGCATTTACACATTTATTCATTACGTGACCAACAGTCTGTCTTTTTCTTCCCGCATCCCTCCACATTTTTTATCACGTGACTAAACTGCTGTCTTTCTTCTTCTTTTCCGCAGCCCTCCATCTTCGGCACTGTGACAGGAGACGACTGTCACCTCACCAACGGAGCTGTCACTCCTGACAGGCACACCAATGGATCCGTCAGTCCTGACCGGCGCACCAACGGCTCTGCCAGCCCCGACTGTCAACAAACTGTCAATGAGGTGAGTGACAGCTCGGCTGGTCCGAATGTCAGCTGTCATTGAGAAAGTGACAGCAGGTGTGACTGTCAGTTGTCAACGAAATGATGACAGTTGGGGGATAATGGACGGGATTGTGGATTGTAGAGATTGGCTGCGAGGAAAGTCGAAGACTTGCGAGGAAGATGTGAAAGGCATTAAATAAAAATAAATGTTACTTAGAAAGCAAACAGTCGTAGAGTGAACTTTCAAGATCGGTGGTATAAAGGGAGATAAATGTTGTCTCAGCTCGACAACACATGCTATCTTTACGGAGCGAGCGAAGCGAGCGTAGTCTTTCCTTAGATTAAAGGTAGTGTGCCACCTTTGAAAGATTTCCCATTTTATTTTTCCTAGGATAAGAAGCTTCTGTTTTTACCTAATATCGCAAAAAAAAAAATCAAAAATGGGCCTGGAATAGTGCCTTTTTCGCCTAAAAGTTTTTCGGTTTTTAGATATGTATAACAACTGTAGTGGGCTCACCTGCAAACAGGCGTCGGGCAACAATCGCGAATGCGGCGCACTTGTGACAATAAGCAAAGGTCATTATAGTGTTACGACCATACGACGTACGGGAATGAGTTATCAGCTGTCTAATCGTAGACAACACAATGTCGAGCCTTAAACTGTAAGCCCGTATTGGTATTGTTTCTTTTATTTGGCTGTCGAACATTATTTATGGTTTGAAATATGATTTTATGTAAAATAATTGATATGAAAAAGCCGTCTTATAAGTTATGACCCCATTTCACCACACGCAAGTGGCAGAAATGACAATGATCAGCTGACGCATTTTTCTTGGCCGAAGTCAGAGCGCGCGGCCCGACGCACCACGCGTATTTGGAAATTCCGACCTCGACGAGCATCAGAAGCCACCTAACAGGCGTGTTCGAAACCGCAGGAGATGATGATGAACGGGTTTATCGAAACTTGATTGGATGAGCATATCGGTAATAGCGATTTCAGTGTGTGCATTTATTGTTTATAGTGGTGTGAAATGTGGTTGGGGTACGACCGACAACCCGTCGGGGCGAATTTCGCACTGGGGTACTCAAAATTTGAAGAATTTAAGACGTTTCCATGAGTTTTGAAGGTATGGATAAGTTCTAAAAATCCGGTTCTCCTTATCTGGGCCATTAACTCCATACGGTCCAAGAAAGCTGGCACACTACCTTTAACGGAAATTTCTGAGTATGAGCGGCCGGCCGGCCGGCCGGCCGTGGTCACGGTTTTGCGAAGCCTATATCTCAGCAACCACTTGACCGATTTACATGCGGTAATTTTTGTAGGGTAGCTTCATTCCTTCTGCCAAGTATTGGACTATTCCCGATGCATGTGGGTGACCCCTTATGCACGTGCCACGTGCAAAACGTAGAGGTGTCACTTTTGTAATTGTTGCAATATCTCGGTAACTACTGGGCCGATTGCGCTGAAAGTTGGCATGTAGGTAGGCACCCACTAGGCAATGCATGTTCATGTGCCAGAGTTGGGGTGCTGCTGCACGTGCGCACGTGCAGGGGTCGATTCCAGATCTCGAGAACGGCTGAACCGATTGCGCTCAAATTTGGTACACGGTTACGGAGCAGTTAGTAGGGTGCCGTGCACAAGTCAGTTGGGACCCATTTTGCACGTGCGCACGTGCAGGGTGCCGCTTCCAGATCTCGAGAATGGCTGGGCCGATTGTGCTCAAATTTGGCACATCGCTAGAGACCGGTTAGTAGGGTGCCGTGCACAAGTCAGTTGGCGGTACCCCTCGAAATTTCGCACGTGCAAGGCTCACCCTCTCGCTCGCTCCGTTAGTCGCCCCAAAAGGCGTTATACTGGTTGAGTAAATACAGTTTAATGAACTAATTTCACCAATAGGCAGCTTCGGGCAAGTTTTAACTTGCATTTTCAGAAGCTACTGTAACCGACTTCGTTATGAATTGTTACTGAGGAGCGTTTTGTTCATCACATAATAAAGCACTTGAGATAATTGAAACTCATAGAGCTTCCAAGTGCCAGCGCCAACTTTTCCGCATTCACCTTCATTGCCAACTTGGATTTACATATTTCCAACCGTGCTCATCAGTTTATCAACTTTGTCTATTGATCACCCCACAAATGCCTTCAGTTCGGTTTATCGATTTTCATTGTTGTGAGTTGGTAGAACCCTCATTCACCTTCACTCGTACCTATCTCCACTTCCTCACTTTATAGCGAAACGGTAGTTCAGCGAAGCTATCTTCTAACCAACGGGGAGTACTTCAAACACATTTAAATGTGCTTCCTAGACACCGAACCGCCGAAATTGCCCCAAAGTGGGCAGGAGAGTGCACAACATTTGTCGACAAGCGGTATATTCGACAAGTTTTGACGCAATCGCATTATGCAGCCTGTCGGAATGAGGTTGAGTTGAGTGAGCTTTTATCGGTGGAAATGGATGACCTGATCAGCTAAAACGCTTTTGATTGATTGCCCCCGCTACGGCGAAGGCCCGACTGAGTGCGAAGTGCATTGGTGTGTGGTAATGCATGTTCTTGGTGTTGCTACTAAGTGGTAAAATTTCGGCGAAATTGTGATATGATTTTGTTTCGAATGGCAAAATCAATGGTTACTTATCAACTAGCGCGTAACTCCGCCGTTTTTTTGGGTATTGGGGACTGCCTTATGTATCCACGTAATGTTGCTTGAGGTATGTTTTGTCATGACATCTGCAAAATGTTATAACGGGGAAATTTTTAATTTATGTTTATGATCGTGCTTGCTCTACTATTATTAGGTAACAATTTTTTTTGCTCAATCAAATGAAAAAAAGTCATTTGTTTCCATGACGTGCCTCCCCAGTAATAACCAGCGCACATTAGCACTAAACCCATTACCCTTCTTCCTTCTTCTTCCCTCTCAGACAACTACCGTCCATTTCCTCGCTCGCCACTGTTGACAAAACATTGCCAGTCGCGCCCCGTATATCGGCACCCAGCGCTCAGTCTAACGGCGTCCTATACCGGGGCGCCACTAATGCATGCCAAGTGCCCTGGAAGACAGGTCACGTGCACCGGTCTGTTCTCATCAGTCTGCCGACAGCAGGTGTCGGAGAGATTGTGTTAACGATAGCACCGGAACTGCCAATGGGGTGTCGGTGATGGGGCGGTGTTGATAAGGGGGAGGGTAGGGGACAGGTGGGGTAGGACGGGATTCTGTATGCATGGCTTCCTGGTGTATGATAAGGAAGGCACACGACGCTATCGCTAACCTAAATAATGCAATCCTATAAGTCACCATGGAGGCATGTGAATCAAATTCATGTAGGTGAAGGAATATTATACAATTTTAGCATATTCCTATCCGAATCCGGATGATCTATCAAAATTCAAATCGTTCATATCATAAGATAGCGTGGCTTTATAAAAGTGCCACTTCACACCTACACACTCTCCGTCAAGAACTTCAGGCTATCTTTGACGCTCCGCACTTGTAGAGCCTGCCTGACCTGTCACCACCCTGCCCACTGAATTAATGGGCGCCGCTCACAACAGTGACACGAAATGAGCAGTGAGCTCACCACACGAGGCAGGGTGTGTCGAGACGAAGGGAGGGAGGGAGGGGGAGAGAGAGAGAGAGAGAGAGAGAGAGAGAGAGAGAGAGAGAGAGAGAGAGAGAGAGAGAGAGAGAGAGAGAGAGAGAGAGAGAGAGAGAGAGAGAGAGAGAGAGAGAGAGAGAGAGAGAGAGAGAGAGAGAGAGAGAGAGAGAGAGAACTCTGTAATATTTCATTTTCTTTGTTTTTTTGAACAGTGAAACTTATTTTGCATCTGTTATTCCGTCTCTCCACCATCTATGTTTGTCTCCGTATTTTGTATCATGTGTCTCTGTCCTCTGTCTCTCTGGCTTTCTTTTTTTCTCTCTCTCCCCTCTCTCTCTCTCTCTCTCTGCCTCCATCCCCGCTCTCCTCTCTCTCCCCCTCTCTCCGTCGTTGCCGATGCGACTCGGCCGCGATAGTCACCGTCGGACGGCCGTCCGCGACGCGCCCATTGTGTGACGGCACACGTCCCCGACGCGGGGGTAATCCCTCCCCTCTCCCTCCCCCTCCCCCCTGTCCAGACCCTCCCCAGTCGACTTGCGCCGCCCCCTGATACAGACGTTGGCCGAGAGATAGGCGGCCACAACAGAAGGCGGAGAGGAGAGACGGGGATAGATGTCGATACGGTGATGCTGATGGATGCAGGGAGCAGGATACTGTGCGCGACAATACACGAAGATGGATCCGATGATGGCGTTGTAGTGGTATTATATGCATTACTGTGCTGGAGTTCTTTGCTGCTTTTGTACAGATGAATGAAGCTGAAGCATTAGGCGATATTACTGCTCATGATGTGAGATCAGAGCAATGCTTTTTCTTCTTCAGAATATAATCATCGTTTGTAAAACATTGACACAACTGTCAGGCGAGCACGTGCTAGAGAAAGGAACTTCATTCCATCTAACTGAAACTAATTTATCTTTTGAGGCGCAGATGCAACTTTTTTCGGTGTCCGTTCAGAGGTGTAGACATTGGATGGTGACTGGTTTCTTTCTTTTTAGTTAAATATTTCATTCTATTTATTGCTAAAGTTTCATCAAAGACTTGGAAAAAAAACGGCAAACGATTCGCTCGGGAGAGAACTGGACACCAAACTGCCGGAATTGTTTTGATAATTGAGCCAGTTCTTCACGCAAGCCAAGTTTGGAGCTTCCACAACTGCAATTTTTCCATAGGAGTACGACTATGATTCTATGACTTATATTGCCCAGTGTCCTGAGCACTGTTTGCGCAGGATATGTATTTTCTCCCTTGTTTACCTTCCTCATATAAAAGTATGTTTGGACACCTATCTGTACTGCCGATCTATCCAAGCAGAGGTCACTAACCACGTTTATCCCCCCTCCATCCACTACCCTCCCCCTCCCCCCGTGATGGAAGAGAAGCAATAAGGACGGACCGGCGGGGACATACATACAGCCGTCCA